AAAATGCGGCCTCCTAAATTTTTAAATAAAATTATTGAATTTTTCAAAAGACTAATTTGTACATATGTATATAAAAAATTGTTATGAACTCAAAAAAATTAATGCTTTGCTTTTCCATGCCACACGTTTAATTCTTTATTGAATTTAGTTAGCTAGCATTAGTTTGAAATAAAAATCAAAATTCGTTCAAATATTTGATCAATGAATTTTTAGGTGGCTTCCCCTACACTTGAACCTTTTTTACAATGGCAGACGTAACCACAAAAAAAAAAACAATAAAAAAGACGACCACAGATTTATTATGGCAATTATAGCCAGTGTTGCCAGGTCTTCGGCATGAGAAAACGTCCCTCTTGGTCTAAAAAAACGTCATTTTCTACCCAAAAACGTATTTTTCGAAATTGCTAAATAACGTTCTGCTAAGAAGGAACATAGCAATATTTCAGAATTTTTTGCGTTCATTACATTTTTAATGAAGCCTTAAAAAAGTCGCCTACTTTTTTCTGACTTTTTATGCTACTACAGTTTTTTGTGTGCTTTTGCGAGCGTGCGAGTTGCAATAGATCAGCTCTTCCTGATTTGGCTTTTAATGTGCAATTGCAAAAATTTCAATAAGCCTTTTAACCTCAAGTGTTCACAAAACCAGGCAAGAGTCCAAAAAAATGCGCCTGCGCTTGCTTTGCATCATATTTAAGTCATCTGTACCCAAAGAATAAATATCTTTTGAAGAAGCTGCTGCAAAAAACAATGCTTGTAAAGCTTTATTAAGAAAATAATTAAAAATCAGTTCTACATACAAGATTTAGTAACAGAGAAAAATTACTGAGAAGTTAAAAAACGTAATTTTTTACACAAAAAAACGTCCGAACGTCAACAGAATATAAAAAACGTCCAAATGACGTTAAAAACGTCAACCTGGCAACGCTGATTATAGCGGTTGTTGAGTAAAAAAAAAACACGAGAAGTATGTATTTAAGCAATCAATGCAATTTATTTACCCAAGTCGAGTAGTCAATGAAAGGTATTGAACTTGAAATGCTCAAAATAAGCTGAAAAGCCGTAAATAGACATTCAAGTATATGTACATATGTAAAAATGTGCATTAGGGTGATCCAAAAACAGTAAAGTCGGAACTGTAATGCTTCCACCGCCTAGGATTGTTCTATATCGAAAAAAGTGTACCCCTATTTTTTTATTTATTTAACCATTTTTTAATACTAACGATTTTTTAGGCGGACCAATAAATTATATTTGCAATGAAAAAATGGTTAGAGTATTATTATTGAGAATCTCCTGCAGATAAACAGAGTTTTCTGGTAGAAAAATACTGATTTTTAACTATTCTATACCATTTCTACGAAAAGTTGTTTTTTCCCCCATATAAAATACATGAGGGGTATTCTCGATCCGGTGCATACTGCCTGGCATGGAGGATAGATAGCATAAATAGCATGATTGGCTAATTTTGTTGTTGTTTGAACACATGAAACAACAACAATCATGCTATTTATGCTATCTATCCTCCATGCTAGAGAGTATGCACCAGATCGTGACAACCCCTATGGAAAACTTTGGGCGCTTTGAGCAACCTCCAAATATTTTTTGATTTCGAAATCAAAAAAATATGGGTATATTTTTTCGGTATAGAGCAACCCTAGGGAGTGAGAGCATTAAAATTCTGACTTAAGCCCCCCCCCCCCCCCCCCCCCCCCCCCCCCCCC